TATATTAATAGCTGACTATTGTCACAGTAAAGCTTCATAGGACCCTCCTATTTGACTCTCAAATCATCCAAAATGATCCTCAACCAAAGTAATTTGCATAATCCTTAAGCAATTGGCCTAAATTCTGATTCTGCTGATGACCTTGCCAGTACATTCTGCTTCTTGCTCCCTCATGTCACTAGGTTACCTCTAAGAAAAGTACAATACCCCGCAGTTGATCTTCTATCCACTAAGGAGCCAGCATAGTCAGCATCGGTGTAGGCTTCCAAAGTAAGAGTGTCATTCCTTTTGAACAGGATTCCCTTCCCTGGATTGCCTTTCAAGTAGTGCAGTACCCTGTAAGCAGCTTGAAGATGAGGTTCTCTTGGATCATGCATGAATTGGCTGATCAAACTTACAGAATATGCTATGTCTAGTCGAGTGTGAGCAAGGTATATAAGTCTGCCAACCAACCTCTGGTACATTCTTTTATTCACTGCTGGTTCTTCTTTAGCTTCTCCCAATTTTTGGTTTGGATCTATTGGAGTAGAAATCGGCTTACACCCAATCTTCCCTGTTTCTGCCAATAAATCAAGCACGTACTTTTGTTGAGATATGAAGATCCTTTGTCTAGAATATGCCACCTCAATACCGAGTAAATACTTCAATTTCCCTAGTTCTTTTATTTCAAATTCTTTCATTAGTCTCAGCTTTAATTCATGCTTCTCTTTCTCATCATTTCCAATCATTATGATGTCGTCCACATACACTAAAAGAGCAGTCACTCCCCCTACAGCTGAATGCTTAATGAAAAGCGTGTGGTCACATTGGCTTTGTTTGTACCCAAATTCCTTCATGACTTTTGCAAATCTGCCAAACCATGCTCTAGGAGATTGTTTTAACCCATAAAGGGCTTTTTTCAGTTTGCACACCTTGTTACCGGCGTCCCTTTCAAATCCTGGTGGAATGTTCATGTAGATTTCCTCATTTAAGTCACCATGGATGAATGTGTTCTTAACATCATATTGTAGTAGTTGCCAATTAAAGTGAGCAACCAATTACTGTGTTCAGTTTTGCAACTGGAGCAAATGTTTCTTGATAATCCACCCCATAAGTTTTGAGTGTATCCTTTGGCTACTAACCTCGCTTTATATCTTTCAAGGGATCCATCAGCCTTGTACTTCAATGTAAAAATCCATTTGCAATCAACAATGTTTTTTCCCTTTGGTTTATTAACGATCTCCCATGTTTTATTCTTCTCTAATGCATTCATCTCTTCTCTCATAGCATCCTTCCATTCCCGTTTTGACAATTCCTCAAACACATTGTGAGGGATGGCAATGGTGTTCAAACTCACAATGAATCCCTTTTGGGCTGGCGATAGGCGCTTAAAAGAGACATAGAGAGATATAGGATAGAGTGGTCGTTTAGTGCATTCTCTGGTTTATTTTCTAACAGCAATGGGAAGATCCACAACAGTAGTTGAATCAGTAGACTGTTCAACAGATTGTGTGTGTAAAGGTAGATCTGATCTTACCGTCATTTTTTTCTCAGAATTTGGATTGGATTCTTGGACTTGTGTCAGTTCAGGACGGTCTTTGTCCTTGAATACACCTAAGGGAACTTTGGAAAATTGTGAGTGATGCTGGTTGGAGAAGGAGATGATATGGGTTCAGTGACAGAATCGGGTGACTCAGATGTGAGTGGTTCAGAGGACTCAGGTTCAACCGAAATATGAGGAGGGTTTTGTTCTTAGTGACTGCGGGGTGGCACATGCGGAAGGTCAAGGGTTTTAAGTGGTTCGAAAGACTCACAAGTACTATCTTCCATCATTGAAATCTCCCTTGAAGAGAGGACTTGGAAAAAGGTCTATTTTCTGTGAAAGTGACATCCGCAGAGATGTAAAATTTTTTGGTCAAGGGGTGTAACATTTGTTTCCATTTTGAGTGGATGAGTAACCGAGGAAAACACATTTGATGGCTCTAGGGTCTAGCTTCCCTCTATGTTGTTTCTGGACATGAACAAAGGCGGTACACCCAAATACCCTAGGAGTGAGGCCATTTGAGGTTCTGAAGTGAGGATAAAAGCTATGAAGGGCCTCTATGGGGCTTTTGTTTTCTAACACATGGGAAGGAAGTTTATTTATCATATATGTGGCAGTAAGAACGGCTTCTCCCCAATAGGACTTAGGAGCATTCCTTTGAAACAGTAAGGCTCGGGTGGTGTTGAGTAAATGCCTATTCTTTCTTTCAGCTACCCCATTTTGTTTGGGTGTCTCCACACATGATGAATCATGGATAATCCCCTGTGATTGAAAATAAGGTGACAGAATCTGATTGAAATAATCTCTAGCATTGTCTGTCCTAAAGCTTTTTATTTTGACCCAAAATTGATTTTGAACCATTGAATGAAAATTAGGTATAACAGTGCTAACATCAGATTTTTGTTCAAGAAGAAAGAGCCATGTGACCCGAGTTCAATCATCAATTAAGGACACAAACCAACGAGCCCCAGAAACATTAGGTATAGTGGAAAGACCCCATATGTCACTATGAATCAACTAAAAAGGATGAGAACTTCTTTTATTGCTAATAGGAAAAGATGCACGGATATGTTTTGCCAATTCACAATTGTCACAATGAAATTCAGAAATATCTAATCCTTGGAACAAATGAGGAAACATTATTTTTAAAATCCTAAAAGAAGGATGACCAAGACGTAGGTGATATAGCCAAATGGCATCTTTATTCGAGGAACAAAGGAAAGAAGAAGGCAAGTTATACTTAGGTTTTTTAGATGGTTCAAGGTGGTAAAGACCGTTCCTTTCCTTAGCAAGTCCAATCCTCCTCCCCGAGTCCTGGTCCTGAAAAACACACTAAGAAGAGCAAAAAACAGCATAGCATTTAAGATCATGAGTTTGGGCACATGGAGAACATTTTTAAGGATATGGCTAGGTGTGATATGTATATCTCCAATCCCTGCAACAGTGGCTAAGGAACCATTGGCCACAATAATTTTTCTATTACTTGGATATGGGGTATAGGTGTGGAAGAGTTGAGATGTGGGGGTCATATGGTCTGTAGCACCGGAGTCTATGATCCAAGAGTTGGTACATAATTTGTCTAAGACATTCATGCACACAGTTTTACCTGAAAGAGCCATTGAACATATTCCAGAAGGCTTCTCAAGACGCCCCAACAAACTTCTCAATCTCTCAATTTCTTCACTATTGAACCCCCCTATTGCTGGATTTTCCTCAATATTGGGCTGCTCTGCCATATGCGTTTGAGGCCTTTGCTGCTGCCCCCCACGGTAGCCCCGCTCTCGGCTTGGAGGTTTACCATTCAGCTTCCAACCCTTCTCCCTTGTATGCCTGGGTTTCTTGCAATAAGTACACCAAAGATTGTCTTTATTTTCTTTCCTTTGGTTATCTCTACCCAAGTGTTTAGGCATATCATTCTTCAACTTCTCCTGATTTGTTTTTTGCTGCTAAGGCTGACCCATCCATAGTATGTGGTTCTAGCATGACACGCCTCCGACTTTCTTCTGCTCGGATTAATGAGATTGTCTCTTCTAGAGATGGTGTATCCTCCTTGCCGAGGATTTGGATCCTAACTTGATCATATTCAGAATTCAATCCTGCCAAAAAATCATATATCCGCTCCTTCTCAATGAACTTCTTCAGAGTGGCAGCATCATCAGGGCATTTCATCTCAATTACCCAGTAGTGATCCAATTCCTGCCAAAGATTTTGCAACAGAGTTGCATACTCTGTTACAGATTTGTCTCCTTGCTTGGTGGCTCTGGTTTTTTCTTTGATTTCATACACAAGGGCAGCATCACGGGCCTTTGAGTATGTGCGGTTGATATAGTCCCATATTTCCTTTGCAGTATTTAAGAACATACAAGTGTCACTGATTGTTGGGCCCATTGAATCCCATAGCCAGGACATAATCATAGAATCCTCCTCATCCCATGTTTCAAATGTTGGATCCCTTTTTTCTGGTCCGGTTCCAAGGAGGTGATTAAACCTCCCTTTGCCCTTGAGGTATGTTCGGACAATTTGGGACCATTTGAGATAGTTCTTCCAATTGAACCTATTGGATGCCCGAATATTCTGCAGTTCTCCAATTTTCATAATAGAGTTAAATTCTTCGAAAGGGTTGGAGATGGTTTCAGATATGACTTAGCGAAGAAGAAAAATTCACAGCAATTAAGGCCAGAACAAAACACAACGATGAAGGCTGCTTGAATAAGACTACAAAACCCTAGAAAAATTCCTAAAGCTCTGATACCATATTAGAAATTTTGGGGGAAAATAATGAAATTGTATACTTGATCATCAAAATAAGGAACCTATATATAGGCAATACAAAATATACTCGATAGACTCAAATCTAAGTAATCTAATATATGAATAAGATCAAATCTAGATATAAATCTACTAAATCTAAAACTGAATATCTAAAATATCTCAACAACATTATAATTCAACTGTTCTTTGACAAATATAATTACATAAATCTAGTCTACTTTGGGCTACTATTTTGGCTAGGCCCATAATATACAATTAGATCCAAGTAATTATATTTACACATATTTAACAATATATATAGCAAAACCCAACAATTTGTAACAAACTTGGAACATATGAGCTATATATTCCAACTTGAGGAAGAGTGTTAGATAATATATAGTTATATTTGTTTAATTGGGATTATAGTTGGTAAATAGATTAGCCCATTAGTATAAGCCCATCAATGTTGTATATATTCTAATTTGTACTCCTTAGAATTGAGATTGAGAAATCCAATTGAAAAATCACTACGTTATCAGTTATCATGGTATTATTTCAATATACTAAGCAACCTTGAAAAACTTGATAACTTTATATTTGGAAACATAAAAGCAAGAGTACTAGGATTACAAGTATATATGTCTACATGATTACCAAGGACACAAATATAATGTTTACGTAAAAAGTGACATGATAAAAGCAACATCAAATTGCAAGAACTCACTTTGCTAATTGACTTGATGACAATTCAAGGGCCAGAAGGGTCGCTAATGCACCCCCTAAACTATGTCCCGTCACATAAATATGCCATCTGGGGAGATCCAATGATTCTCCTCTGCGGAAAAACACACAAGTTAACAATGATATCATAGAAACATAAGTTCACAACCAAATAGGTTACTAAGTATATCATAACAATAATCACAAAAGAACGGCTCCCTCTTTAAGTATATTAGGTTACTAAGATTGATATGAAGGGATGCATAGTGTAATCTGTTTAATATCACATAAAAATTAGTGAAAAAAACATACATGCAAATATGTGAGGACATACAGAAATGAATACGGCAGAAAATGAGATTTGAACTGAGTTAGAATACAGCATCTTGTTAATAATAAATAGGCAGTCAAAATAACATCGCTAAATAACTCTTTGGTACATTTATAAGAAGCAATATGGTGTGAAATGTTTCGATGTAGGAATTTCCGTTGCGCTTCCTCATTTTGTATGAGGATATGAGGGTTCATGTTGAATGCCATGCACGTCAAGGTAACTGGAAATGGACATAGAAAAGTATTGAAAACATTATGGCTACAAAGTGTGTGAACATGCAACCAAACAAGGTTTGAATTTCATCACAAAAACAAAAAATGGAAAATATTTTAGAACGATCTTTCATGAAGTTTAACCAGGTCTTTTGGGAGAAATCATAACCAAAAGAAACTAACTTTAGACATGGCAGCAGCATCAATTTAAAGTCATTGAGTGCAAGAGGAAAGAGGGAGGAAACATGATTGTAGAGAGATTGTAAATTGCTAAAACTAATACGTTTTGTTTGACTTGCGCTTTACTCCAATTGCCTTCTAAGTCTTCAAACTCCATACAATAATCTAATTAGGAAACGATGTAGAACAATCTAGTTGGCAAGTTATTTAACACAAAAATGCGAGATTGAAGCAAATTTTGGGTCAAATAATATTGATAGAAGTATGAGTGAAGAAAAAACAGGCAAAGTGCCAACTACTTGGATTGAAGTGGATGATTCATTGATGATTAGACGATTATTTTGATAAAGATGCAAATGATAGAAGTGAGTAAATAATACTTTCTTACCTGGAACATGAGTTGTAGCCATGGAATCTAACATCCAAGGTAATCCTAAAGAGGTAGAAATACAACAAACCGTCAAGTTCCTTGATGGATTATCGACGGCATAGAGGAAGATGATGTTTGTTAGTTAGCCTAAAACTTAAAAACTTGGTGCATTTTTCCGGGAAAGAGAGTGATAAAGTGTTGTGATAAAGCATTTCTTTGGCAATCGGTAATCACAGGTAAATAGGAAACATTGTAGATAGAAGGGAAGAATTGGATCTATACTAATTGAAATTGGAATGAAATAAAGGAACTCCAATCAACTAAAAGCATTAAAAAACACCATATTTTAATTTAGATAGAGGAATCGACTTGACCCATCCAATTTCCATCGGAATTGATATGGCGGAAAAAGAATGTTAACGGAACCAACGGCAAAAACTCCAACCATAAAATATGGTGAGATTGAGCGATCCCGATCAAATATCAAACAACTCATAATTGTGTTAGTATAGGTTAATTTAGCCTATAGATTAGCCTCTCATTAATTGTAATTAGCTTATCCTCTCATTAATTGTAGTTAGCCTACTAATTATAATTAGATTGTCTACCCATTAAGTTAGCCTATAAATTAGTCTCATTAACTATAAATTACCTATAATTTAGCATTTTATATAGACAATTTCTTACTGCCTGCTACCTTATCAACCACATGCCCTTTTCGGTCATCCGTAACAATGTTCCTCATGAGATTTTGTTCCCTCAATATCTTTTATATCATTTACTCCTCCATGTCTTTGGGTGTATTGTATCTGTTCATGATCACTCTTGGGATAAGTTAGCTTCACATGATCTAAACTGTGTTTTTCTTGGCTATTCTAAGTTCAATAGGGCTATAAGTGTTTATCTCTTTGCGCCAATGTTATTTTTTTTACTTCACACCTTATTTTTCGACGTCATTTTTTATCCCGTCTATGAGCTATATATTACCTATTCCTTTCTCTTCTCCTCTTCTTCCACCTCTTTAAGTTTATAGTCGTCGTCCTCACCCGCTAATGTCTCTTATGATGGTTCTACTGCTCATGTTCCTCCAACATCTACTGACTATCCTGGCTCTGAAGACTTGCCATTGTCTTCTCCTGCAGCACCTATCCTACCGGTTCCTGCATCGTTATGCTGAGGTACTAGTTCTCCTCATAATCCTCATCCTATTTACAGTTTTTTTATTTTTCATCATTTGTCGCCCACATACTATACCTTTGTGTCAAACTTATCCTCTATCTCCCTTCTTAAATCCCTTCATGAAGATCTTTCTCATCCAGGATGGCGACAGGCAATGGTAAATAAAATGGCTGCTTTGCATGCTAATGGTACTTGAGACTTGGTGCCTTTTCCTTTAGGTAAGTCCCCCGTGGCTTGCCGTTGGGTCTATGCAGGTAAGGTTAGTTTGGATGGTCAAGTTGCTCGGCTCAAGACCCGTTTAGTGGCTAAGGGAATCACATAGGTGTTTGGTGAGGATTATACAGAAACCTCCTCGTATGTTGCCAAAATGTCTTTGATTCGTCTTTTTATTGCTTTGGCTACTATCCACTCATAGCCTTTTCACAAGCTTGATATTAAGAATGCATTTTTTCATGGTGAACTTCAGGAGTAAATTTATATGGAGCAACCACTTGGATTTGTTGCTCAGGAGGGGTCTGATCTCTCGTTTGCAAACTACACCATTTGTTATATGTATCGAAACAATCTCCGCATGCTTGGTTTGGTTGATTCAGCATTGTTATACATGAGTTTGGCATGATCCGAAATGCATTAAACTATTCTGTCTTTAATAAGCACACATTGTGTATGTTGATGATATTGTCAAAAAGAGGTCACCCAGTTAAAGCAACAGTTATTTAAGCATTTTCAAACTAAAGATATGAGACTATTGAAATACTTTCTTTATATTGAGATTGCTCAATCATGTAAATGTGTTGTTCTTCACAATGGAAGTACGCATTTGATTTTCTTGAAGAAACTGGTTTGTCTAACTACAACATAGTAGACTCTCCTATGGATCCAAATTTGAAGCTTTTTTCGAGACAAAGAGAGCCATTAGCTCACACAGAAAGATATTGTAGAATGGTTGGTAAGCTTAACTATATCACAGTTACTCGACCTAATATCTTTTTCTCTATGAGTGTCATGAGTCAATTTCTTCAGTCTCCATGCGATAGTCACTTGGATGCTGCCATTCAAATCTTGAAGTACATCAAAGGGTTTTCTCATAGAGAATCATTGTACACTAATCATGGTCGCACATAAGTAATTGGTTACTTAGATGCTGATTGGGCAAGATCCCAAGTTAATAGACGCTCTACTTGGGGGCATTGCATATTTGTGGTAGGTAATCTTGTCTTATGGAAAAGCAAAAACCAGAATGTTGTTGCTCGATCAAGTGCGGAGGCAGAATATTAAGCCATGACATTAGTGACATGTGAACTTATTTGGATACAATAGCTTCTTCATGAACTCAATATAGTAGAAGTTTCAAAATGAAACTCTTTTGTGACAATCAAGCTGGCTCTCATTTGCGTCTAATCCGGTATTTTATGAGAGGACTAAACATATAGAGATTAATTGTCATTTTATTCGGGAGAAGGTGTTATCTGGATGCATCACCAATCACCATGTTTCTTTGAATGATCAACTTGCAGACATTCTTACTAAATCTCTTAGAAGCCCTCGAATTAAATTTCTATGACAAACTTAAATGATACGATTTGTATTGTCCAATTTGAGGGGGGTGTTAGATATATTGTATATAGGGGTAATTTCGTATTTATAATAGTATAAGGGCATTTATGTATTTTGGATAGTTGTATTATATAGGGTTTGTTTTGTATATTGTAGTTTTCAGTTTTTACATTAATGAAAAAGATCAACTCTAAACGCTCGATGTACCTGTGATTAATAGCCTGTTTGATGAGAGTTATAAGCCTTGTCCTCACAGAATCATATGCGCTCAGAAAACCAGAATGGACCTGTTAAAGTTGAGAAAAAGGTGGTAAATGATTTTGTTTCAAGTCAACATCCATGGTAGTATAAAGCAGGTGTTAAATGAATAAAATATAAACTGTACCTGAACTTCTTCCTTAGAATCACCACCTATCCTTTCAGGGTTTAGCCTGTACTAGCAGAAAAGAAGTGGAAAACAATTACCACATACAATTCCTAAATAAAATTAAAGGGACAAAAGCTGACAAGGGATGCGAGGCAATTCATATGGATAAAACACATATCTCTTGAGAATGTGGCCAGCATATATGAAAAAGGAAAGGCCCCAATACATGCTAGAGTCTACAGAAAATACCATCACTTTATGACATACAACATTAGTTGATTTATTTGAGACAAATAGTTTATGCAGTAATTTCTTGCCATGTACACATGCTCAACCGTATCACGCTGAGTTTGAAGCAGGCAATGAAGCAAGCATAGAAAGAGAACTGTAAGAATAATCACATATACAACACAAATTCAGAATTTGGACAATGCACGCATGCCATGGCTGCTTGTAGAAGGTAGTGAAAAGAATAAGGCTCTACTTACATATCTGGGTACTGTGAAAATTATAAGAGAGGCCTTGTGCATCTAATCGACAAAAGAATCTAAGGACACCGCAAACTGATACAGATGCATGGGTTGTTCTGAATTATCTTAGAATTTGGAAACTACATCCTAGAATTTTGCTTAGTAAATTACTTGTCTGTATATTTCCTGTGAAGTGCACAACAAATGAAACAGATGCTTACATCTATCACCAGCAATAGATATGGTATAGTTTCATTGGACTGTTAAGTAAATCACTAGCAATTATATAAAATATTAACTAAGAATGATTCACATGGGAATTGAGAAAGAAAAGCAATGCAAGATTATAATCTATAGACAAATTACATTACCCTGCGGGAACTAGCATCAAATCTGTCCGTAGATCCTTCCACCTAGACTGGAGAAATCGAATGTTAGGCATGCTAACCAAAACATCACAGATGAAAATTTCTTGCATAGACTAGAGAAATAATGTAACCTACTTGTTCTGTTCCCCTAAAAGCAATAACAAGTCTTGTTCTCTCAAGATCACGCCAAATTGCTACCTGCACACAGTCATTAAGAATCCCTTTCTCAATTCAATGACAGTTTGACAAAATAGAACATCAACAAAAAGAATCGTACATTTTAAAACTAGATACCATATTAGATAACTCATTTAGAAGCTTGCCTGAGTGTCTGTTTCAGAATTATCCAAGAAGCAAATTTTTTCAAACTCAGATTTAATAAATGTAGGATGGCCTATTGCGTTTGCTAGCATTGCCCAGGCCTCCATAGCACTCTCTGCTGTTGAAAACAAAGCTCTCATTTCCTCTTCTTCCTTCTCAGTCAATGTTAATCCACCAGTTTGACCACTCATGATAATACCTTCTTCATCCTCTAAGACTTCAGTTTTCACTTGGGTTGGAGTATCTTCACTTTTTCCATTTAGTTTCAGTTCCTTGTTTAATTTAGAAACTGCAGCATTTACAACCATCATTGCACCCAAGATGGAATCAGTTTGTCGCAATAAATCTTGTGTCACTTTCTTAATGTCTGGTAAAGATGTCTGCATTATGTTAATGGCCTCAGATCTGCTCTCCGCATCTTCCCCTGCTGACTTCTCACTATTTGGAATTGCAAGCCCAGACTCAATGTAGCTTGCCTCAGCCATTTCTTGAGACTGAAGACCAATATTCTTCAATAAGTCGAATCCATCCCATTTGATTTTTTCAGGGACAGGAATGTCCAAATGCTTAACAAAATTATGATTAACAGAATTGGCTAACTTTTTCCAGAAATGTTTGTCAGACCATGAATGTTCTGTAGTTTGGTGTGTCTCCTGAGATTTCTCCATTATGTAATTATCTGTTCCATTAGTGGTAGCATCATTTAGGCTTCTCCCATTCACAGACTCCTCCATATTACTTTCCAACTCTGGATGCTTGTCTGCAACAAATTTCTGAACAACATTTTGATTAACAGAATCAGCCAATTTCTTCAAAAATTGATTTTCAGAAATTGAATCTTTCCTAACTTGATCTTTAGAGGGGTAATTGTCCAATTCAGGCTCCCCTTTATCAGAGCCTTGTATTTGGCTTGACTCGATTTTTGAGTCCTCATGACTGAATTCGGGCTTTGGAATCTTGTCTGCCTTGACAATATTATCAAAAGAATTTTTGGCATTAGAAAACCAATCCTTTTGCAGGTACGAATCATTAATAGATTTCAGCTGTCCAAAAGCAAACTGCACAAATTCCCGTGCTTGAACTGTTTCTGACCCAACAATCAATTTGAGGGCAGGCTCAAAACCATGTTTCTCTAGAAATTCAGTTACAATAGGTATCTTCCACCATTTCTTTTCTTCATCAATCTTCTCGAAACTCTTGTACTTTATCTGAAACACATTTAAGAAGAAAGGTAATGTTGCATGCATTCTGAAAAATATGACAGATACATTCCAATCTATTCATGCGGTTAAGAGCATTTATTAAATATATAAATATATATATGTATAACAAGAATTGGAGACAAGCTCAAATCACATATAACATAAATTTTGCTATTTTATTCTCTTAAGATCGCCAACTGGCAGCATCATCCGCATTTTTTACAACATACTCCAATTTAGATATTTAACCTTTCTTGTGGATTCCAAATTCCAATGGATCAATCAATAAACAACAAAAAGCAAAAAAATATATTTAAAATGTAGAACACTCCATATCAATATGCCCATGAACCACATATTCTTCAGTGATCAGAAGTTCAGAATTTACCTCTACTTCTATCTTTCCACCACCACCCATGCCTTCCAGCTCAAGAAGCACCTCATGAGCATTTCCTACCAAAAGGGGAGTTCCTTAGTGACAACTGAGCCCAACCTTCCTAATCTTTGTGTATTCTGTGCAACAAATGCTAGAATATGCCGCTTATGGCCCAAAAAAGTTCCATATCAAATGATATTGATTTATTTACTAGTTAAATAAGGCAATAATTTGGCTTTTTACTTGTACCTATAATCAAAAATAGAATTTTACAAGGATCAATATTAGTAGTTTGACATGTTGGCAAAAAATATCATACTTATTGGAAAAAGAAGATTCCCCAACCAACATTCCTGTTAGAATGCATTATTAACCTTAATAATAGAAAAACAGAAAAAAAAAAAAAAAAAAAAATTCATTGAAATGATGTTGGAGAGATATGTTAATAAAAATAATATTAGGATTGTCAAAGAGAAAAATATTTTATTTGGGAAAACAAGATATTGAGAGTACCTGCTTTTGATTATAAACTAATTTTTAAGTACTTAGTACAGTACAACTGAGAAATTTTTAAATTCCTAAAAAACTATTATTTGGTGGAAGTAAGCAAGAGTTTCATTTCATTTTTTTTTTTTTTTCTTTTCATTTTTTAAAAACTGCTTCAAACATCAACTAAATGTTACTGAAATATGATTCTGATATATCAGAGTACAGTATAAATAAATAAATATATCAGTCCCTGCTACCAAGCTGAAGCCGTGAATTAATTATGCAAGAGGGAAACCAATACTCCGAGCTACCAAGCCAAAGCCAACATCAACCAAAAGCCTCATAATTTCCCTAACCTAGATGAACTCTTATTTATCTTTGACCTTGATGGACCTCATGTTGAGTGAGGGGGTCGGCCTTTGCAGGTTTACCATCGACGAAAACGGGCATAAACCCAACTTCCATGGGTTATGTTTTATTTGAAATTCAAATTTCAAAATTTAATTTATTGTCTTTAATGTTAAGTTATTGTCATTTATTTATATTTTGAATTTGAATTGTTTAGTAGAGTATTTAAATGCCTACCTTGGGACTATTGGGGATATGGAGGAAATAAAGTATTGATGAATTACCCTTGATTAAGGGAAATTGGGGAACACTTTGTTGTTCTTATATCTATTCTTAACAAGTGGTCCGACCTGCCGGATCTATTTCCGTCGGGATGGTTGTGTTGCACGAGAAACGTCTGACTGGATTGAAGTTAGATCAGAATGAAATCAAAGAAAAGATGGATGCGCAAGATGCAAAGTTGGATGCGTAAGATGGTTTTGTTAGGGGGTGTTTTTTGGCTGTGTTTATATATAATATTTTACATATAATGGGAGATAAGAAATCTGATTTAAGAGGAACAAAAAAGATTGTGATCGATGGAGTACCCATCATTCATAGTTACCGAATACAAATTGAATGGGTCAAATTATTTAATTGGTTTAAGACCATTAAGATGTATCTCCGGAGCATTGGTAAAGCTATTCATTTGGATAAGGATCCTCCCTTGGTTACTGGTGCTTGCTATGATGATTGGTTGCGAGATGATTCCTCGCCTATTTCTCCATATTAAGGATTCGATTAAAAACGACATAGTGAATTTAATCACGCATTGTGATACTGTAAAGTAATTGATGGAATATCTTGGATTTCTATACTCAGGGGAAGGTAACATTCCTCGCATTTATGATTTTTTTCAGAGCTTCTATCGAGCTTAATAGCAAGATCAATCGCTTTAAGCATATTTTATGAGTTTTAAAAGAACTTATGAAGAGTTAAATATGCTAATGCCCTTTAGTCCAGACGTGCGAGTTCAATAACAGCAAATTGACCAAATGACAATGATGAGTTTTTTGAATGGCTTGTACTCTCGCGTTTATAACGTTAGATCTCAGTTACTTGCGGCTTCTAATGTTCCTCAGTTACCTACCGTATTCTAACGTTTAAGTCGTATGGACGTTGGTACTTCTCCTACTACTACCCCTATACATGTATTAGTGGGGCAGCGTGACAAAACAACATCTCGTCAATCTAGAGGTAACCCACAAGATGTTTGGGGTACCCCTACTAGTGGAGGAATTATCTACTATTACTATCATCAGCCTGGACATACTAAAAGGTTTGGCAAAAAACTCAAGAATCGGAATAAAAAGGTCATATTGCAAATGTCACTACCACTTATAACCGGCTCCAATTGGTTACTATTTATGCAGATGAGTATGCTCGGCTCATTGTGTCCCAGAGCAGTTCGGTTAACTCATCTCAGTCTATCAGTGCGGTAGCTGAATCAGGTAATACTGATAAGTGCCTCATTTCCTTTGCTTCTAAGTGGGGAATTGACACTAGAGCAACTGCTATGACAGGTAACCCGAGCCTTTTCTCTTCTATTTGCTCTAGTAATTCATCTGTTACCCTTGGGGATGGTTCAAATGCACAAGCTATTGGGGTAGGGATTGCTAATCTTACACTGTGTCTTCCGTTACATTTTGCGTTGCATATTCCTGGCCTTGCGTTTAATTTGATCTCTGTTAGCAAATTAACATGCCCTAAACTGGTGTCTCATTTTTCATTGATCATTGTCTGTTTCAGGACCGTGCAACGAAGAGGATTATTGGTAGTGAACACACATTAGGGAGGCTCTATATCCTTGATATCCCTATATCTACCACGGCTAAGCCCCACATCACATGTTCGAGTACCTGTTCTTCCTTTGAAATTCTTCGCCGACTTGGTCATCCCTCACTGTCCTTACTGAAGCAGTTACGTCCTAGGTTCTCTTACATCAAGTCTTTATAATGTGGTCATGTCAGTTTGCTAAGCTTCATCTGCTAGCGTCTGTTCCTCGGTCAAATAAATGGTCAACTAGTCATTTTGAGTTAATTCACTATGATGCTTGGGGTCCTTGTCCTGTAGTGTGTCAAAACCGGGTTTTTGGTAGTTTTTTACTTTTGTGGATGATTTTTCTTGAATGACATGGATATATTTTATAATATCTCGTTCTGAAGTTTTTTCTCATTTTTTTTTCCTTTTGTGCTGAAATTACTTAGTTTAATATGCAAGTCCGTTGCCTACGTAGCGATAATGCCAAGGAATACTTCTCTTATCAATTATATCAATATATGTGTCAGCATGGTATACTTCATCAATTATTTGATACAACCTTTCAAAATGGGGTAGCTGAACGCAAGAATCGGCATCTCCTTGAGGCTGCTCGTGCTTTGTTATTTCAGATGAAGGTTCCTAAGATATTTTGGGCAAATGTTGTGTCTACAGCGTGTTTCTTGATTAATTGTATGTCGTCATCCGTCTTAGGGGGTAAGACACCTTATCAAACTCTCATCCCGTCAAAGTCATTATTTCCCCCTTCTCCTAAAATCTTTGGGTGTCTGTGTTATGTCCAGGATGGTGGGCCACATATGACTAAACTCGATACTAGGTCTCATAGATGTCTTTTCCTTGGATACTCTCGGGTTCAAAAAGGTTATCAATGTTACTATCTAGATCTTAATTGTTACCTTGTGTCTTCTGGTTCTTTGAGTCCACTAACTTCCCCTTTGGCCATAGTACCTCTACACCCCTTGTAGATGATGACTAGTTAATTATACCATGTCTAAGCCTCAGTCTCCAACACTATATAAGCCTATCCCTTTTCCGCAGGTTTACTCCATCGTCTTAGTTCCTCCCAGTCGTGTCCTGCACAATCTCTTCTTTGCCCGCAGTTCCTGATACTCCTTCAGAGTCTACTAATTCTCCGCCCACACCTTTCGATGCTCTTGAGGACCTCCCTATTGCTCTTTTCAAATATAAACGTCAGTGTACCTATCCCATTGCCTCAGTTAGTTCTAGTAACCATTTATCGCATCGATCCTGTTTTATTTGTTTCCACTATTGACTCTATCTCTATCCTTAAGTCTCTTTCCAAGGTCTTATCTCATTCTGGTTGGCGTGCTGCTATGATTGGTGAGATGAATGCGCTAGACTCTAATAGTACATGGGAGTTAGTTCCTTTACCTGACGGGAAACAATCGATTGGTTGTCGGTGGGTCTTTGCAGTTAAGTTTAATTATGATGGTTCTATTGCTCGCCTCAAGCCGCGCCTTGTGGCTAAGGGGTATGCTCAAACTTATGGTGTCGACTACCTTGAGAATTTTTCTTTGGTTGCCAAGATGACTTCGGTTCGGTATATTGATCTCTTTGGTTGCTCGTCAAAATTGGTGGTTGTGGCAATTAGATGTGAAGGATGCTTTTCTTCATGGCGACCTCGCGGAAGAGGTCTATATGAAACAACCTCCAGGGTTCGTTGCTCATGGGGAGTCGGGAAAAGTATGTCGTTTGAGAAAATCATTATATGGCCTCAAGCAAAGTCCTCGAGCATAGTTTGGCAAGTTTATCTATGCAATTGAGAATTTTGAGATGATAAAGTGCAGATCGGATCATTCGGTGTGTTATCATTGTACAGATTCTAGCGTTATACTATTCGTGGTGTATGTGGATGACATCATTGTCACCGGCAACGATACGAGTGGAATCCTGGCGTTAAAAGAATTATCCACTTGCAATTCCAAACTAAAGACCTTGGTGAGCTACAATATTTCCTAAGAATTGAAATGTTCCAGAAGAAGAATGGTATATTCCTTTCTCAGCGAAAATATGTTCTTGATTTATTGATTGAAAAGGGAAAGGTTGGAGTTAAACCATCTAGTGCACCCATGACACTAAATCAAATATTTATGAATGGAGGAAAAGCCAATAAGGAGCCTGAAAGATATCGGCTATTATTAGGTAAACTGAATTACCTCACTGTGACCCGGTCAGATATAGTTTATTCGGTCAGTGTGGTAAGTCAGTTTTTGAGTGCACCAACCGCTCAACATTGGGAGGCTTTGGAACAAATTTTAAGATATTTGAAAGGTACTACAGGACATGGGTTGCTATACAAAAACTATGGGCATGATCAGATTGAATATGTCTCTGATACTGATTGGGCGTGTTCAAAAGTTGATCGTAGGTCAACCTCTGGATATTGTGGCTTTATAAGTGGCAATTTGGTTTCTTGGAAAACCAAGAAATAGAATGTGGTATCAGGATCAAGTGCCGAGTCAGAATATCGAGAAATGACACATTTTGTATGTGAGATTATTTGGATTCGTCAATTTTTGACAGAGTTGAGCTTCCAAATCTCAGCTCCAACCCAATTATGGTGTACAATCAGGCAGCTCTTCACATTGCATCAAATCTTGTATTCCATAAAACATATTGAAGTTGATTGTCATTTTATTACGAAGAAGATCCAACACGGAGTGGTGGTCGCAGGTCGTGAAAAAAGAGACCAAATTGGACATCTACTAACCAAAGCTCTCATCTCAAATATATGTGTGACAAGCTGGGCATGATCAATATTTATGCTCCAATTTGAGGGGAGTGTTTGATATATAGATATATACATATATATATATATTAGTATCTAATTACATTGTGAGCCTGATTCCATTGTGCGACCATAACCCAATATAGATTAGGTTTGTATATATATGTGTACTGTAATTATTATTGTAATTAAATTAATAAAATATAAACCTAATGTCCTTCACATTTCTCTTCTTTATCTACGATAACATATTTCAGCCATATCCTACCTATTCATTTCTCTTGCCCTCTTCTTATGCGTCCACTTTTTCACATTTATCATCGTTTTCCTACTGATCATGTCACTACAACCTCTTTAGACTGTCCCAGCTCTTGAGACTTTTCATCATCTTCTTCTCCACATACGGCTCCTTCCTTACCATATCCTGCATCATTACACCAAAGTACTTATTTTTGTTACAATCAATATTCCATTTACAATATTTTGTAGTTTTCACCATTTCTCCCGCATACTATACATTTGTGTCGCACCCATCTTTTGTTTCTCTTCATTAAACCTTCATAAGGCCCTTTCTTATCCACGTTGGCGACACACAATGATGGACAAAATGACTATTTTACATGCTAAGGGTACTTAGAATGCCTTTAGGCAAGTCACATGTGGCCTGTTGTTTGAGTTTATAGTTAAGGTTGTCCTGGGTGGTTAGGTTCCTCATCTCAAGGCCCGTTCAGTGACCAAGGGCTTCATGCAGGTCTTTGGCGAGGATTACACTGACACATTCTACTATATTGCCAAGATGTCCTCAATCCGTCTTTTTATTAGTTTGGTTGTTATGCACTCTTGGCTCTCCATCAAATAGATATCAAAAATGTCTTTCATAGCTAACTTCAGAACAAAATCTTATAGAGCAACCTCCGGGATTTGTAGCTCAGGGAAGTCTGGTCTCGGAAATGAACATGGTTACCCCGTTAAAACATTACGTATTTAGCATTTTCAAACTAAAAATATAGGACCATTAAAAAAATTTCTTGGTATTGAAATTGCTCAATCACATGTTCTTTCACAACAAAAGTAAGCTGGTTATTCTTGAAGAAATTGGTTTGTATAACTGCAAGCCAATAGGGCTCTCCCATGGATCCGAATTTGAAGGTTCTTCCAAGACTGGGAGAGTCCTTAGCTGATGCTAGTAGATTTCGTAGAATGGTTGGTAAGCTTAACTATCTCACATGTACTCGATATTTCTTTTGTTGCGAGTATAGTGAGTCAATTCCTTCAATCTCCATGCAATGTTTATTGGGATGATGCAATTCGAATTTTGCAATATATCACAAGGTCTCCTAGTAAAGGATTATTGTATACGAATCAAGGTCACAAAATAAAAGTTAGTCGAATGCTAATTGGGCAAGATCCTCATTCTATAGATGTTCTACTTCAGGGTATTCCATATTTATGGGAGATAATCCCATATCTTGGAAAAGTAAGAAACAAAATATAGTTGCTCGATCAAATGCAGAAACAAGATATCGAGCTATGGCATTAGCAATATTTAAACTCCTTCATGAACTGAAGATACTTGATGTTTCAGAGATGACACAATCAAGCCACAATCAAGCCGCTTTGCATATGGCGGATTTGTATGCTCCAATTTAAGGAAAAATATTACTGGATATATTGTATATAGGTCTAATTTTGTATTAAGAATACTGTAGACCCATTTAAAATTTTTTTTTTTTATATATTGTAGGGGTTAACTCTTGTAAAATTATGAGAATTAGAATAAAATTTCTGTTTGAAACTTTAAGGATTTGATGAATTAATCTTGTAGATTAAAACCAACTTTCCTGCTACCAAGCCGAAGCCCACTTTAACCAAAAACCTGTAATTCCCTAACCTAGATAAACTCTTACTTGTATTTGACATAGATGGACCCCTTGTATATATAAGCCCGTTTACATGGACTCAAGAAACATTAAATAAAAGACTCAAAGATAAAGTAAAGTAAAACAAAATAAAAGCCCACTCAAGTCATCAACTTACGCAACAATCAAATCTAAATGAACTGGGTCTCTTTTTTCGTCTAATCTAAATATGGTCTTACCTTAAATCATATTCAGGATATCTATATAACATACATATGCAGGATGATCATACATACCATCACAAAGATTATCCAAAGTGATACCAGCATTTCCCATGCGTTTATGTGGAGTCACAAGATTTGCATCCCAAGCAGCAGCCTAGATATTTTATATCATTTATAAACGCGAAGAAAACAGAATAAGAAAACAAAGAAATTTCACTACCAAGTATGCATTCATTGCTATTTTATCACGTCACCGAAAACAGCTATCAATCAATTCACTGCATAAAGTAATTAGATTAAATATTTCATATCCTATTTTCAAATTTAGGAATTTGATGAACTGCCTGGGAGAAGAAATGATGAAATGAAACGTTGAAATCTTCAACAACCTGAAGAATGTGCCCTGGCAGCAGCTTGATATTCAGGGCAAACTCTTCATTCCATGTGGGTTCTTTTGTCCTGACACATTTATCAACAAACCCATCAAATCACCTTCAAATTTCGATTCGCATCATTTATATTTGAACTTCCAGGTAGGAACAAATATATCTAATATCTTTTATTTAACTTACGGAATCAAGTGACAAGTGACAGCGGACAAAAACTGAACTAGGAATGCAGCTCTATTGCTTAGAATGGCCAAACTAGTTAAGTTCATAAAATTGCAGCACTTTCTAGGCTGTAACTACGGGATAATGAATGTCATTCTAGTGAGTTTAGAAATTATGAAATTACAAAAATTCAGATGTTAGTAACAGTACTAACAAATCTAACAAGGAAAACACCACTGCAACTTACCCCCATTTGACATTGCTTTTGACTACCTGACAGTCCAATTGCATGACCACATAAGGATCGCTAGTTCCCTGAAGATGAGATATAAATTGTTATACAACTAACAATCTGTCGCATATATTTTGGGGTGCAAAAGAAATGAAGCCTCTTAAGTACATTGCCTTACCCATGGATCCATGGCAGGAAAATCGAAACCTCTCTTCAGCTTTACAAATAATTGGCCATCATAAATTTCCCGTACAAATGACCTGAATATGTCAGTAGAATCTCAGGCATCCAGATATAAGGTTTTGAGCATTGTGGTAAGAGCACGGGAAAAACAAAATATACATAAAAATAAATAAATAAATAACTAAAAACAAAAATTAAAAGAAAAAAACAAAGAAAAGGTGGATCTATTGCATTGAACAGGCTCACTAAAAGTTAAGTGCAACTTATCATTTTTGAACTGACAGCTCATGACATCCAACAACCATACATTTTTCAATTGAACAGACTTAGCCAATCATCTTAATTAGCATCATAATCCGCACTTTCCACTGAGTATTGTTATATTGACAAAAGCAGAAACCACATACTCTGAAAGGAACACAGTCTGGCACTTTGCAGCATCCGTCTCACGTTTTCTGTACTTTTCCTGATAGAAAATTTCCAATGTAGGGGTGACCCTCAGAAATGTATGAAGCGGTCTTTAGTGCATTCCATTGAAAGTAAAAACAATACTTTTCCAAATATGGCATTTCTGAAATATACTGCCCGTTCATAGAAAGACACATAAAGCAAATGAATGTCTTTTCAATCCAAACCACAATCACCCCACCCAAAAGGAAAATTTGCTTGCACCCAAATAGCCATCTGTGAATATGATTCTTAATCTTCCACAAGGTGAGATAACAAATTATATAGATCCAAACTGAAAAACTCTAATATCATATCCTAATCCAACTCTATCAATACCAATGTTTATCTATATAGTCAACACAATCCACACAACCCATTAATAGCATTCTATTGTTAAGGATTAAAATATTGCAGCACAGGATATCGAAAGAAACTTAACCATCACTACCTTTCCAAACTTTCAGCGAACACCCAAACTGAAAACTTGATAATACCACCCAAAAATAGACAACATAAGTTATCCCTTGCCCAAATTGCACACGTGTAGACAGTATGCATATTAGCTTGAGTAAGCAATTAGGTCAAAACATCTGTTGGATTTTTTGATAAGTTGACTTCATAAACTTCAAGTTTGCCACAAGTAATAACATCACAAATGAAATGATGCTTGATGCCAATATACTTGGTTTTGTTTTTTGTAATACCGAATTTTCTTCGTTAAATGAAGGACACTTTGCCATAGAACACTGTGCAACACTTTAATAGGCCGTGAGCTATCTTTGATCCATTCCATTGCAGTCACATACTCAGCTTCAATTGCATGTGAAATAGAAATAAACTAAAGTGAGGCCTTCCAAGTAATTGCAGTTTCCAAGAGTAAAAATTAGCTTTAAACTGACCACCGGTCTAGATTGCCTACAAAATCATATTATTCCATCAAAATTTTCTTGCTGGGAAAACACATGTCCAATGTCCAACGTGCCACCTAGGTAACTCAAAATCCACTTGCACACAAGTTAGTGAGCCATACTAGGATTGTACATATAACTATTCACAATGCTCACAGAGTTTAGAAAAAAATATACTCCCTCTGTCCCAAATAAGGTGTAACATTTGCTTTGGGCAGGGATTTTTAGGTGGGTAGTATTAAGTAGGATAAAGTGGGTTTTTAGGTGGGTTTTTAGGTGGGTAGAGAAGTATATATTATATTATTTTTTTATTTGGGTGATGTAATGGGATAAAGTGTGCTGTAGAGATTAAATATAATTAATTATTTTCTATTTATGAAATGTTAGAAGTTGTTTAGGACATACCAAAAAAGAAATGTTATAGGGTGTTTGGGACGGAGGAAGTATTTATATGGTCAAAATAATATTGCTGTAAGGTAGGGTCAGTTATTTAGCATAAAATTTAGGTTTAATTCTTGTTTTATTGCCAATTAAATTATGTTTTAATTTCTATTCAATAACTAGTTAATTTTTGGTAATTTAGCTAATTAATTTCTGTAATTTAACTAATTAATTTCTGTATAAAGAAAACTTGGAAGCGGGAATACTTGCATTCCCTTTGTTTCATCTGAAGACCAAGCAACATATATCCTAACTAAGGGATAGACTAAATCATCATTTGACTTGCTTGTAAACAAGTTGGGCATGTTTGAAATTTATGCACCAACTTGAGGGGGAGTGTAGAAAAAATATATTTATATGGTCAAAATAATATTGTTGTAAGTTAGGGTCAGTTATTTAGTATAAATTTAGGTTTAATCCTTGTTTTATTGCTAATTAAATTCTGTTTTAATTAGTTTTAATTTCTATTTAATAGCTATACAAGGAGAATTTTGTTATTTGAATCTACACAGAGTATACCAAATCTAGCCTAATATAGACCATTAAAAACTTCAAGCTACCGAAAACACTTCAATAAGAAACCTTAGCCCCTTAATCTTGTTACTCCTCGAAATTCGGGATACAAGCTTCAAACAACTTAAAATAAGCAACAAGGGAGGTTGCAAAGGGTCTAGCTTGAGAATGTCATATCTTTCATACACCCTAAAAGACATCGCTATATAGAGAAAACAAACAAAAGGCACCCATGAAGAAGTAAGCTGATCGATGCCATGAAGATCAAAGAAGGTGACGGGTTCCTTCGTTCAAAATTTTGGAGACATTCTTTGCTAGATTAATGTCAAAATTCTAGCCTTAATCTCGTAAATTTCTGGATGATTTTGATAGATTTATATACTTAATGTGTTGGAAAAACTGTAAATATCACACATACACGATTGGTAGCTGTTTTGCATCCAAGAAAGTAATGCATTAGGACAAAAGATGTTGCATTATGGAAGGCTGGAAAGGCATAAACATCTACTCAAGTATGAGATCAATTCTTGTACATACAAGATACATAATTGATAGTAACAATTTTGGACTTGAGTTCCTAGATTAGATCCTGTTGAGTGATCAAAATGGGTGACAGAATAGTTGTTAGTTTTCTTGATTTGTGAAATTTGTTTTCCACAGTCCCATTCTAGCAGTTGTTATGGAACTGCAGGTGGTACAGCTATCTATCAATGGAGATCCCAATTTAACACAAGTAGATGTTCCACAAACAAATATCAGATGAATAAGGGAGGACACTGTATTTGGATAATGGAACCAATCTTCTCTTGTAGATTAATGAAACTCATTTAACAACGAAATGTAAGCATATCCATCATATTAGTATCACGTCACACAGGATTTGCAAGTTTTGAACTTCATGTACTTCAGTAGAATTTAAGTTCTATAGTTTTGAGTGATTTCTTGTGGGATTTAGAGCATATTAGTAGAATTTAAGTTTATCATTTTGAGTGATTGCTTGCGGGATTCAGAGCATATTTTCAGACCTATCACTCCAAACTAAGAAAAAGTACCACAGGCGAAAAAAGAACTAATGAAATCTAGAAACCAGATACAATTTCACTTCAAAACTTAAAAAACCCATCAGTCAAGAACACAATATTTCCCAATGCCATTTTCCCGTCGCCTCCTCACAACAAACAACTAGAAGAAAGCAGAATTATTGAAAAATAGAATAAAATAAACTTGTGTGCAGTTGAAGAACAAGAGAACATTACAGAAGGAGTGGTGTAAGCTTCAAACGCAAAGCCAGCAAGGATGACCGCCAAATTGATGTCGAACGGAGGCCTCACATCTACACCGTCCACTGCAACTGACTTCTCAATCTCAGCTTCACCGCTGCTACTAGCAATCGCTCTACAACAGCCGCCGACTCTGGAACCCACTTCCACATTAAACTTCCTTCCGAGGAACACTATCTTAGAGAAGGAGGATGGATGGTGAGGTTTCTTGAAATGGACGAGACTTGGAGCGGTAGAGGGTAGAAAAAGGACGTGGGCTTGCAGAGCGGCCATGACCGTAGGCGAGGAGAAAATAACCAAGAAAGCAAAGGTAAAGGAAGGATTGGAAGAGGAGGAATGCGACGTTTGTGTTGGAGTTGGTGGCAGTTCTACAGCTGCACGTACAGTAGAATGACTACGAATAAAATAGACGTGGAAAGAATGTGCGCGAAACTGAGAGAATAAAGCCGTGTTTGACAATTAGACGGCGTCCTCTAATTCAATATACTGATAATAGTTGTTAGCTGATTTAATTAATTATTTGTATTAAAATATTTGATAAAATAAATTTATGATATTAGTTGTTTATACATGACAATTGAGCATATACTGAAAAAAACTATTTCAAAATGCTAGGTAAATTAATTTTTCATAAATTAATTTTTTAGGTCAAAAAAAACTATTTTAAAAAACTAATTTACCAAATAAATAAAAATTATTCAATAAATTAAAAACTTTTCAAAAATTTTTTTGTCAAACACCTTCAAACACTACGACCCACACCAGACAGCACAGGATAGTATCAGAATTTCAAAGCTAAGTGATGAGACAATACTCGGCAATGGACTATCATTTTCGTCGTTGATTAGCCTAAGAAAATTTGTACAAGTTTCATTTAATTAACGATAACTTGGATTAGGTAAATGAAATTTAAGTTCAATCCCCCACTACTAAGATAACACTGCAATTTTTGTTTTTCATTTCCTCCACTACTAAGATAACACTGCAATTTTTATTTTTCATTTTTATTTATATTCTACTCTTTACTATTTATTTTACCTTTGAAATTCCTCTATAATATCAATGATTAATTTATGAACTTCCAGTAATGTTATACTCTCTCCGCCATTGAACGAGATTTTTTGAAATTTTATAATAAATTAAAAAATAATAGTATTTTATTGGTTAGTAAAAATAGAGACGAGTTTTTGATATTTTTATACGTATAAAGTAATTGTATATGTAACGATATATTTATAATTTTACAAATAATTATGAGGTGTATGGCAAACAACTTTTTGAAAAGCTTTTAGTTTATTTAACACCTTTTAGTTGTTTGACCAATAAAAAGTTAATGTAGGTGTTTGGTAAATATATAACTTCCTTATTTGCCCTTAAAATGTTATTATTTATTTCACATACATATAAATATAGTTTCTACTGTGGTAATTATAAATTTTTAATATATTATTTATTCAATTATAATTTTATTTCTATAAAATCAAATTAATTAATTTTATATATAATTAATTTTATTTGTAAATTATATATATTTATTAAAATAAAATAAAAATAAAAACATAAATATTATTAATTTATTTTTATATTAAAATTAAATAAAATAGAATAAATTTATTAAAAATTATAAATATAATAAATTAATCAATAATTAATAAAATAAATATATTTACAAAAATTTTATTATTTTATATTTTACATTAATTTTTAATAAAAAAATATTCATATTTCTTAATAAAAATATATATTATTTTTCTCACATCTAAAATTAATAAAATAATATTTTATAACACATTCATAATTTCAAATAACTAATAACGAAAATTTAAAAAATTTTAAAACTAAAAAAACACAATTAAAAAATTTTAAAAGTTAAAATATAAATGTCCTAAATTGTTATTTTACATATAAACAACTATTATCAAACAGTTATTTTACCAAACACTTTAATACAAACAACTAATTGAATCAGCTAGTCAAACTAGCTAATTGAATCAGTTAAACGCTAACCTCTAATTGAATCAGCTAAATGTTAGCCTCTAATTGAATCAGTTAACAAATAAAAGCTATCAACTGATTGTCAAATTGTAGGTTTGGATTTTGAGTTGGGATTTGAATAGTAAAAATTTTGAATTTGAATAGTTGTATGATGTGATATAAATAGGTGTTGATGTGATGTTTTGAATGTAAAATTGATTTTTAGTATAATATAAAAAATGAAAAATAGGTGTTTGATTTGATGTTTTTGGGGGAAAAAATTGGATGAATAGTGGAAAAAAAATCCAATCCCTCAAACAAACACACCATAAGAGTATTTTGGTATTAGTATATAATAATTTTGTATAAAATAGAAAATAGATACTACCTTCGTCCAGCTCTAAAGGGTCTAATTTACTTTTTGTGTGTTGATATTTGAATATTAATTATTATATCAAAACGTAGTATAAATTAAAAAAATTGCAAAAATAATTCCATTAGTGTCTTATAATACTAATAAAAGGACATTTGTACAAAAAAAAAATTATATAAATATAAATATATTTTTAATATTAAGTATAATAATGCAAAACGCAAATAACCCTCAGAGACGGATGGAAGAAGTACTATAAAGTAGGATAAACAAAAATAATACTTTGAATTGGGATGGAGAGAGTATAAACTTACATTATCTATTTATATACTCCAAAGTTATCATATTGTAGAAATACAATTTCAAAATAATATGATTAGGATTTTTATTTACATCTTTGAGTCAGTTACATAAATATAAACAAAAATAAAAAATTAAAATCAAACCTAGATAAAAATCCACAAACCCGCGTTCTAAATAAGTTAAATTAAATATAATTATATAATAAAATTTATAATATGCATCACTATAACTAATTATTTTTACTAATATTAATATTATTATAATTTTATAAAAAATTAATATTATAATGAATGTTTTTATCGTAATTCATTACACATCCAAGCCGCAGCAACTCACACCCAGGTTCTTCCTCTATGTCCTCTTTTTTCCCTAATCTTGTCTAATTTTCTATCTCCCTTTCTTCCTTTTTCCCCCTCATCTTCACCCACCGTCCCATCGACACACCAAGTTAATATATATTTCTTTTCAAAAATAAAAAATAAAAATACAATATGCATGTGTTCAAACTGAAACCGCCGCTTTGAACTGGCGGTTTACGGTCAGAGAAAAAAGATCGATTTAACCTAGATGATAGTTCCGGTTGGAACTGAAACCGCCAAGAAAGGAATATTCTCCGTTTCCGATTTTAGTGAAAATAATATTATTTTGTATGCTCTCAAAGTTTTACAAAGTTCTAGTTCTAAAGACTAAGACTTAGCTTCTATTCACGAATCAAACTCAGTTTTGATAGGAGTGAAGATGTTTCAATTTCAATATTGATAAAAGTGAAGTGGATTCCTTCATAGTTTTATTCATAATTAATTGCATTCATCGTGTATTCCAAACTCTTTTTCGAAATGTATAATTTTATTTGTTCTTACCCATATTATTCTATAAAAAAAAATTGAAAAAAAATAACAACAACATTAACAACAACAAATTTTATTCATAATCATAGGAAAACTATACATCAGAAAACAAAAACAATAGAAAATAAACTAAGAAACCCTTCTAACAAATATTCCGATACATTAGAAAACAAGAACAATATAAAATAAACTAAGAAACTCTTCCAACAACTCTTCATGGAATATCATCGCGATTGGTAGAAACTTTAGGAGTAAAACTGGTAGAATAAGATAGAACAATAACAAGAATGTCTTTTTTTTCTTTTTTTTTTTTTTTCTCTCTCTTCGACAACCTCGAGATATAAATCATAAGCGTTCATGAGTGGCTCTTCTTCCGGAAGAATTTGGCTCACAAACTGCTTCCCACAATATGAAATGAACCAGTTCAATAACTCTAAAATATCTTTTTTCAAATCAAAATGTTGAATCCTCGAACACTCATACATGGTTTCAACTTTTTTGGAGATAAATACACTGTCCATTATTTTTGAAGGATTGATTGTTTGCTTGGAGTCCCGGCCATAGTTTTAGAAAATAAGATATATTATTGTTGTTAACAAAAGAATGAATTTATATACATTTCAATATTTAGCTTTGGATTTAAAAAAATATAATATTCACGTCCAATTTAAATGTCAACTATTTAATATCTCTTAATAAATTAGTGTATGTACAAATTCCTATACAACGACTGCATTTAATATATTATGTATAATTTTATAAAACGTCGTATATTACGGGAAAGTTGCACCATTGTATTTAATTTCTAATCTTGATATTATCTTTTCAATCAATGGATAAATTTTGATTTAACAAAATATTCTATATATTTTAGATAGGACAAATGCTATTATATAAAAAATATAATTGAATGTGTTAAAATGTTTAATATTAAATATATATGTATATATATGAAATATTAAAAATATGTTAAAATATTTAAATTAAAACAAATACATAACCTTTCATATTTATGCGTAATTTCAATAAAATTAAAATTAAGCTGATTTTTAATGAGTATACAAATTTTTAGATATATTACGGCTGCATTTAATATACTATGAATAATTTTATAAATATCTACATTATAATTAATTAATTATAATTGGATTGAGTTACTAGGAAATATATATTTTTAAAAATTTATTATGAACATATCTACAAAAATTTATAAAACCGTTAGATAATATAGGAGAATTAAACAATTCTATTTAATTTATAATTTTTGATATTATTTTTTCAATCAATAGATAAATTTTGATTTAAAATACAATTTTAAAATATTTTAGATAGTACAGACCTTTATTATATAGATCATTTAATTGATTTTATTAAAATATTTAATACTAAAATAAATATATATGTATATATGGTAAATTTTGTGATAATCTATTTTGATTTAACAAATTGTTTTAATTTTTTGAAAAAGAATAAAGCCAAAACAACAAAAGCAGCTATAAGTACAGCTACATGGATGAATGTAAAATTTCAAACTGGATAGAATAAAAATGAACAAAATGTTAGATGTATGTATAATAAATAATATGAAAAAAAAAACATAATAAAAAAATACTTACACAAATATTGTAAAATTTGAACATTAAGTTTTCTGACGATCAACACTATAAGATATTTCTTGTTCTGCATTAAAAACAATATTATTATATAAAACTGAAATATGATATATATTCTTTGAAAATAAATATAAAAAATACTTACCAAATCGTGAATAAAATAATTTCTTCTAATTAGATCTTAGTCATGTTCCAAATGTTGTCTCCAAAACGTCACTAAATATTGGACGATCATTTAAATCAAAATTATTGATATTTTGATTATTGATTGTCTTTTCTCTATTATTTTAAACCCGACCTTTATTTCTTCCTCTGTTTCCATTTTCTCTCATACCGGTAGTTTCCGTTCCTCGTGTTGTCTTCTGACTCTAGTTCTCTAAGCAACTTCATAAGCCGGCATTCTACGATTATGCCTCGGCATTTCCCGCAATAGAGTAACATGAGGATCATATAAATAAGCACATTTAACGTCAAGACTTTCGATTGTTGGTGCCGAAAAATTATTTTCATATATTGTAGGCTCCCAATTCACAAGTTCTTCTTTCAATTCAATTTATTTTTCCTCAAGAAAATTTATCTTCTGAGGATTGTCCATAGCCATATCAGAACATTCTTGAAAATATTTTTCAACTTGTTGAAATTTCTTGAACTCTTCCGTCATATGTAAGTATTCTCCTTTAAAAAATATCGAAGTATGTCTTTTTTACACATCTTTTCTCCATCTATTTAAAATGTATCTTCCATTAATAAAGTGTATGTCCTTCACTGTTATTACTTTAAATATATGAGAATAAACTATTCCCTTAAACTCAAAACTCTTGTATTCACAGTCAAAATATTCTCCATCCGGACGATATTCAACTTTATAAGTGAATTCATTCATAAAGAAATCATTTCGAAGTCTCATTTCCATCACAAAAAATTTCTCAATACCAACTTCAACAACATCATCTTCCGGTAGCATTCGGTCAATTTCTTCTTGAACTTTTACATGTCTTAATTTTTGTCTTTGAATCAAAGTCTACCATATTTTTTTTTTTTGAATTTTCTTGGCAATTGCCACTTCATATTGTTCCATGAATTCTTTCAGTGTGCATCTTGAATGGATATAATCATAAAATTATGCGCGCATCCATTCATTTCTTTGCGTTGAAATCATACCAACCCAAAACATGTGATTCAAATAAACTGAAACTCACTTTTCCTTTTTAGCATAGAAATCTTGAAACCAGACTTTGTATTCCAATCCATATTTGACTAAAAAATCAGCCAAATTTCTTTCAAAATTAGGAATCGTAATACTGTCATATACTATTTCTTTGAATTCGACAATCACCTATTTATACTCCTGAATACCCTTAAACTTTAAAGACAATTTCGACATTATATGCCACAAACAATATCGATGTATAGTGTCCGAAAACACCTCATTTATTGCTATTTTAATGTTTCACATTGATCGATCAATATAGCTTTAGGTTGCACCCCATCCATTGCTTGAACCCAATTTTCGAAAAGCCATTTAAATGAAGTTGAGTCTTCACGTGTCACCAGAGCACACCCTAGTAATATAAATTGACCATGATGATTATCCCAACAAAAGCTTCAAACGACATTTCATACTTATTGACAAGATATGTCATATCAAAGCTCACTAGGTCATTGAAGTCTCCATATGCAACTCGACTTCTCAGATGAATCCACAATACATTTCTTAACATTCCCTCATCATCAATGTCTATCACATAAAAAAATTTCTATCTTGATGTTGCAATCTCGCAAAAAGCTTTCGAATAACTTCTGCATCTCCATTACCCAATCTCAATCTTCTCATGCTTTCTATAAAGTTCCTACAATCTTTTGGACGACATCCAATGTTTTCAGGACCACAAGCTTGAACTTCACACAATCGAATGTTCTTACTTGGCCTTATACCCGCAATATTGTTAGCCTCCAATTGTCTCTTTATGTGCACACCAATTTTTCTATGAGTCGGCATTAAAATCGACATATTTGGATTAAGATCATGATTGTATGTTGTAATTGTTTTCAGAATAATCCATAATTCATCTTCTTTCTTTATGGCACTGAGTGAGTTGGACATCCTACTCTTTTGGAAATCTTTTGTAGATGGTACTTGTGATTTATCATATGCTATATATGCATATTTTTCTTTTGTTAATGCTCTCTTTAAAATGCTAAATTCAGACTTTCTCGCGTACTCTTTACAGTATTGAAACTTTCATAACTATCATATATCATTCTTGTACATGATCCATCAATATGCTCAATTTGATTTTCTTCTAAATTTACATCAATATTAACAAGTTTTTAATACATTATTACTATTAATTTTAAGCAGTATCAAAATAAAATTAAGACTATTTAAGAATAATAATAATAATAATAATAATAATAATAATATAATTTTTATGGTAAGTGACGTTAATATTGACTAAAATGCATTATTAGAACTAATAAAATTTAAAAAATTAATTAAAAATTGCTATTAAAAAATAAAATATGTTATTTACGAAGACTATTGATCAATATAGAATCAATTAATATTCTATACATATTAAAAATAAAATGATCAAAATTGTTTAAATGAAGGGACTATTTAAAAATTTTACCTTTATTGGTCTTGTTGTTAAATATTCCAAAAGATGTGAAATCTAATGGTTTCATAATTAGTTTATTTTTGTAAGTCTTGTTATTTTTTTGGGGGAGGGGGGGGGGGTAATATATTTTTAAAACTATTATACATTTATTTATTTATTTTTACTGAAAATTTTAATTTTAATTTTTTATCTCAACTGAAAGTAAAACGTGTGTTTAGTTATTTTTTGAGATAATTTTTTCGATATTTTTTATTTTATATTCTTATTTATTTTAATATAATATTTATATATGTATTTGAAAAAATAAAATAAGAAGAAAAAATATCTAACTATTAATAATATTTTTACATATCTCTAATCTTATTCATAAATATATATATTTTTACCGTCTTTTCACTAACAATCCTCCAAAAATATTTCTAACTATATTTTTTTTTCTAATATCTAATAATATAAATATTAGTAACATTAAATAATTAATTTTCACATTTATCTAATAAACAATCTCTTTATTTTTAATAAATAATATTGTCAGATGTTATAAATTCATTAGATAATATATAGACAACTATACTATAAATAATAAATTCAAATAAACATATATAAATTCAGCAAAAATTTAAAGAGAAGTATGACATAAAAAAAAATAAATAAATAAGAAGAAAAACGTGTATGTGTGAGAAAAAAATATTCAAAAAAATTTATTTATCTTGAAAAAAAATATCAATAAATTTACTAACAAACTCAATATCAAGTTCGGAATTTAGATCAACAAGAGTTTGCATTTGAATATTTTCGTATTGATCATTTTTTTATATATATAAATAACTACCAAATAAATGGTATATAACATTTTCTATATTGATATACATATTGACATTTTAAAAATGAAGAAGGGAGTGTTAGGCCCGTTTGGATTGGCTTCTTGCAGGAGCTTTTGGCTTCTACTTCTAAAAAAAACAGTTTGAAATCTATTTGCATTAACTTCTGTCTAAAAGCAAAAGCAGCTTTTGAAGTTGAAAAATAGCTTTTGAAATAAAAAAAATACTTTTCAGTTAAAATTACTGTTTTATCCTTAATAATAATAATAATAATAAATACTATAATATAATATAAAAATAAATAACTTATATATATTATATTCTAATACAAATTAAAAAATATGATTAATTTATTATTTTTAATTTATGTACTATATTTGGATTAAAATTTAAAATTTAAATACCGAATGTAAATAGGAGTATATAAATTTTTTAATTATACTTAAATTACTAAATATAATTTATAAAATTTTAAAATTAATTATAAAATACAAATTATATAATATTATATTGTAAATTTATGTTTAATTGATACATTATCCTTACATTAAAATTTTAAAATATAAATAATCAAAATTTAAAAGTACATTTTTTATACTTTAATTTCTTTAAATATAATTTGTAAAATTTAAATTAAATTATAAAAATGTTATAGAAAAACTAGTATTATATTAACCGCATGTCCTTTTAAGTAATTTTAACAGTTTAAAAAAAATACTTTCAAATGTATAACGTCCAAACAGTTTTTTACGAAAAGCTGCTTTTATAATGATTTATCCAAAACGAACTTTTGGCTTCTGCTTCTGCTTATTTTTTAAGTCAATCCAAACGGGCCCTTAGTTTAAATAGAACAAATAAAATTACATAATTTATTGTTAATTGCTATTAAAAAGTGTAAAATACGATTATTCAAGAAAAATATAATTGTTACAAAATATTTTTTATATTTTAAATGAAAAGTAAAATTTATCAGCATGAAAAGTAAAACTGTAACCTTTGGGCACAATCTGCCAATTTAGTAAAATGTATTAGTAATATTAATTACTCCCTCCATCTTAAAACAATAGGGACATTTGAGATTGACATAAAAATTAAGAAATAATAATATTATATTGATAGTGGGCGTAAAAGTATTTTTAAAAATTCAAAATACCTTTACTTTATATAATTATTGTAAAAAAGAAAATATTTTTGTAAAAAGGTAGAGAGTTAGTTACCAAAAATATAGAAATGAGGCTATTATTACGGAACAGATAAAAATGACAAAATAATATTATTATTTTGGGACGGAGAGAGTATAATATAATATTAATAATTTTATATTAAAGTTAAAATAAATAATTAGTTTAATAAAAAGACAAATAAATTATAAATTACTCCCTCCAATCTAGAAAATTTAGCCTATTTTCTTTGTATTTTTGCAAAGAAGTGAGATTAAATTTTCTGGACGAAAGGAGTATAAAATTAAAATATAATTAAAATTCCAAAAATAGAAAATAATGACTCACAGATTAAAATGAAAATGATGGATTATTTAAATTGCAATCCGCATGCATACTCTCTAATTATAATAATATTATCCATTTTATTACACTTGAAGAGAATTACATACATGAATCCTCAACGGGTAGGAAATCCTACTACATTATTACAGACTACAATTAAAAATAAATAAATAAATAAAAAATATATACATTGGAACAAACTAATAGAAGAATATTAATTAAGTGTCCCAATGTATAAGAAATTACATCAAAATGCATTATTAGGCTGGCCTGCTAGCTACGACCTAGCTAGCTGTAAATAAATAAATATATTTAATTTTTCTTTTCACCCATGCCCAGGGTATTCTTGACGCCATCAATTGCACCTTGAGCCATATGAGCCACCTGCTCGCCGGTCTGCAGAATAACAATAAATTAATTAATATTATTAAAATGGAAATTGGGTAAATTAATTAAATAATGAATTAAATAATTACCTGTTGAAGGATTCCAGCATTCTCCTCCTTGGTCTGCTGGGTGTGTTGATCTGAATGGCCAACGGCGTGGTGGGCTTTGTCGTGAGCCTGTTCTGCGGTGCTCTTCGCAGAATCCACCCACTGCTCAGTCTTGGCCTATATATGTATACATATACATATACATATACATATATATATATATCATCGTATACAGTTTACAAATACGTAAATATAACACATGTTCGTTTGTAATAAAGACATGCGTTGTTTGTTCGTATGTTATGTGCAAAAATCAACTGTTGTATGAGAATGTATCATGTGTTGTTATTTTCTGTGTTGTATTTGTATTATATTAACGCATATTGTGTGTTTGCTGCCTGTGGTTATACCCTATGGTGTTCAACACACTTATATTCAATACTGTAGCCGCCACTGCCGCCTATATATATATATATATATAATTACCTGTGATTGGGCCTGGGATTGTCCGGCATTGAACTGACCGCTCGACATTTTTGGTGAATAAGTGAATGTGTTGAGAAGAGTATAGAAGATATTGAGAGAAGTGAATGTGAATGAATAGAATAGGTGATGGAGTGATTGGTGAATGAATTGAGTTTGGAGTATTGAAGGGTATTTATAATGTCGGGAGGAAGACTAATAATAGTAACATAGCATATGAATATTGGTATTTGTGGTGGTGAATATTGTAAGTACCAAGCTAGTGTGTTGCACGCGCAATTTGTGTTAATCCATGCAATGCAACGAATTACATGCCTCCGCTACCCATTCAAATCAATTTCTATTTTAATCATGGCTGATCGGTCTTTATCGTTCCAGATACATCGCATGGTATCGTTTTAATGTATCGGTCAAATATCGATTATATTTTTAAATTATAACTGATAACAAATAATTAAAATAATTAAATATAATCAATTTTAAAAAATTAAAATTTAAATAATTGAATTCAATTATAATTTGAATTATTCTTAATTTTTGTATTTCTCCCTCCCACTTCTTCTTCTCCAATCATGGCGAACCATGATTCTAATCCACTCATTTTTTATTTTTACTTTTACTTCCTAAAGATATATGTGGCACCTTTTAGATTTATTTGTACAATAATTTCGGCCAACCATTAAAATTATTAGATCTTTTTATTTATTTTATTTATCAACGTATACTGGAACAAAACAAAATCGCAATCAAAACAAAAATTTCAAAATTTCAATTTATGCTTCATAAAACTACTAAACGATCGTTTAATTCTTTATTATTATTATTATTATTATTATTATTATTATTATTATTATTAAATGATTAATGAGGTTTTAGTGGCCATTGGAAATTAACTTATAAAATTTAGTGACCACTCTAAAGTACAAGCTTGTTGTTTATGTATTTTAGAGTAACGAGATTTAAAAAATATATACTACCTCCGTTCAGTAATAAAAATTATATTTACGTTTTGCATATTAATTTTTTAATATTATTTATTATATCAGTATAAATTAAGAGAGAAAAATAAAAATACTTATATTAGTATCTTATAATATAAATACAATGACATTTATATAAGTGACAAGACATCCACCGCAGCGAAGCGAGAGTGAACTATTCCATAAATCCACTAAGTGTTCATCTCTCAGCGGTCTAGTCATTCCAATACTAGCTAGTGACGAAAATATCGCTTTAGTTACGCTGATGCCCTCCAGCATCTACGCAAACAAGGAAGGTCTGCGCCCTTACTAAGCAAGCAAAGCGAACGCTCTGGAAGTTATGGCCAGTGCAACTGTTCTAATAGAATAACTGTCACCAACTGCCTAACTGCTCAGCGATTTTTGCCACTTCTCAACTGCCCGCAACTGCTGTCTTCTCTAAGCTATAAATAGGGTCATATTTCTTCTGTAAAAATATACTCATATCAGAATATACACCGCAAATACTACAAGAGTTCTTACTTTTTGTTGCCTTCTTCCTTTCCAAGAGTTCCAACCCTATAAGAGAGTTCCCTAGTAGAAATGGCTAGAGGGGTTGAGATGTTCTCCCTCTCTGGCCGTTCACTTTATTGCTTTGTAGTTTAAGTCTACAGCTTTGTTTACTGCTTTTGTACAGTTTTCTTTATGTAAATATTTACTGTTTTCTTTAGTAAGTACTGCAATATCAAGATTTCTTCATATTCGCCCATTTCCTCTTTTCATATTTGTATTGGCATAATTAATTTGGAATTCTGTGTCGCTGAGAAAGAACAGAGAATAATTGATTATCCCAGCCTAGTTTCGTATTGTATTCATTAACAGATCCTAGGTAGTTCAATATAATTAAGTATGTGGGAGCCTTGTCGACTTGCTTAGCTACTGTCCTGAATTCGATTTTCGATTAAAGAAAGGTAACAAAAGGGTAAAGTCACTAATGGGACATAAATTATAATAATTAAAGGGGCATAGACGTTTGTCTATCGGGTCACATAAATGTCTAGTGACAGTAGCATTTCTTGCTTACAATGTTTTCATTATGAGTTCCATTGAAGTCTTGTTGTAAATCTCTTAAGGTCAAGTATCATCGATCCAAGTTCTATGTAAATCTGTTTGTATGATTACATTCACATATTATGTCGTTTACGTGTGTATATGTATAAATTTTGCTTATTCCTTAACATCATTCGCTCATTTCATCCATGAAATTCTACCCATTAAGGAACGTAGAGATTACACAAAACACTATCTGGTCGCCCCCTACCGCTCACTTAGTATACATATACCGCTTTTATTTCACCAGCTCGCTTTCGCTCATCTACCGCTCTCGCTGCCTCCATTATTCACCGCCCCTGCTTTCGCTCACCCAGCTGCTCACATTTACTCGCTTTCTTTAATTCGGTCTTAGAGCAATTTTTTTCTTCAGCTCACGCGCAGGCGAGCCTCTTTACCGCTTTTCCGATACATATCACTAGTTCATCTTCTTGATTAAATTTCTCGATTTAAAATCCCTGTGTTCGACCTGAAAACTCACCAGTAAAATACTCCATCCATCCCTTAACAATCTATCCATTTTTCCATTTGGTACGTCCCATAACAAAGTATCTTTTTCTTTTTTTAGTAATTGTACCATCTACCTAACTTTACAAATACCCTTCCAATTTACAATATATTACACAAATGCCATTACTTTTATATCATACAATACTAATAGGGTTAATTTAGTCTTTTTACCTTAATTTCTACTTATTCTAATATAATACTAATATTTCTAAAACTCCGTACGAAAAACAAATGGATATATAGATATGAGACGGAGGGAGTAGTGTAAATAATTGTGATAAGCGATTCAGAGTCTACAACTTTATTTCTTCATCCAAATCTGGCCATACACAATATTGCACACTTCACTCTATTTTCATTATTAATTCCATGTCTTTAAATAAAAAAATTGTTGTTATTAGTCTACACACTCTCGTTCTGAGATACTCTCACCTCTTCCCTCTTTCAACTATCATACTCTCTCCGTATTTTTTTAGGCCACTTGCTACTGGTGGTACTTCGAGAGGATATAAACCGTTTTACATTAGGAGTAATATGAATATACCAAAGCACTACTGACGATATTTTGCTATGCAGAAAGAGGTCTTCTTCGACTCGGCTTCATTCCCGTTGCCTTAATATTGCCCTATATTTTCCAACAAAAACATAATGTGTTATAAATTGTGATTACTATATTGAGATACAAAATTCGACCCAACTGACAACATATAATATAAACACGATAACACACGATAGAAAAAATAAACAACACAAGAGTTCTATTAACATAATATAAAAACAACAGATGAAATGACAAGACATGATATAAGGATAGATAACACACAATAAAAAGTCTGACAACACATAATATAAGGATAAATAACACAACATATAAAGACAGACAACACACAATATAAAGACCGACAATATATAAATTATATAAATATAGTACAAATATAACATATAACTAGTAACACATGATATAGTCTCACACAACACATAATATAAGAACAATAAACATATGAATTATATAGTATAACATAATACTTATAGGAGGTCACGATGCGAGTACGAAGTGGGGGCCACTTTAAACGAGATATAGGTTGTTATTTTGATAATATTGTCTTGGTATATGCTATGTATAAATAGTTCAAGACAAAAAATTCACTAGTTTTCCTATATGTTCAATGATATTGAAGCTGAGGAGGTTCAAAACTGCACTTTTGAAAAATGACTTCGAGAATGAGATATACTTGGAACAATCATAAAGCTTTGTAGTTACTATCCAATAAGGCAAGGTGTGCAAAAATACTAAGTCATTGTATGGTCTCAGACAAGTGTCTAATCAGTGGAACTTAAAATTTGACGAACCGATATTGACAAATAGTTTCAAATATAATGAGTGTGATAAATATTTTTACTACAAAGGAGATTTTAAAAACCTTGTGCCTGTATGTAGTTTATATTTTGGTCATGGAAACTGATCAACGATTCATTGTATGGACAAAAAAAATGTTCAAAATAAATTTCGACATTAAGGATTTAGGGTTAGCCGATGTGATGCTTGGGACCAAAGTAACTATACACCCAAAGACAATTATACTAATTCAATCTCACCATGTGTTGAGAAAATTTAAAGCATATGCTAGCTCTTCGGTGAAAACCCCAAGTCACCCAAGCGTCAGACTAAACAAAAATTGGGTAACCCTGTAGCTCAATAGGAATACATAAAGATCTCAGAGAGTTATGCATTCTAAATGGATCTTACTTAATTGATCTTGCATACTCAGTGAATAAAATGAGTAAATGCTCTAGTAATCCAAGTTAAGATCACTGGAATGCTACTGTTAGGGTTTCGAGATATTTAAAATATGCTCAAAATTTAGGACTATGATTTATAAAAAAATCCTTCATGGCTTGAAGGATACCCTGATGCCAATTAGATATTGGATTCGTAATTATTCGTGTTCCATGGATGGATATGTATTCACAATTGGAGGATGTGTTTTCATAGAAATCGATGAATAAAATATGTAACTGTCCATGAAATTAGAATTTATAATTTTGGATAAAGTGGGCAAGTAAGCCGAGCGGGTTCGACAACTCGTAACAAAAGATTCCATGGTGGAAGAAATATGTGTCCACAACAATGATACATTGTGAGGGCCTAGCGTCAATTGAAAGGGCATGAAATATGATGTACAACGTTAAATTATGATATTTTTTCGTTAATATAATACCGTACGAGAATTGATATCAAGATGGCTAATCTTGTTAGACTATGTAAAGTCTAAAAATAACCTAGTAGATTCGGTAACCAAATGATTAAAGCGAGATAAATTTAAAAAGTTGTTTGGAGGAATGAGTTTGAAGAAGTACATTTAAGAAGGTTTAGTGGATATCCAATCCTAATGATGGAGATCTCACAAACTTTTCTTAATGGGAAAACCAACATACATGAGTTCGCATTGCCACACTTAGAAGACATGTCTTCGATCATTCATAAAGTAGGAAAGAAACAAGAAACAAGTATTGATATTTCTTTTGTAT